AAAGACAGGGGCACCTGGGTGGCTCAGTCATTTAAGCATCCAACTCTTGATTTCAGCTCAAGTCATGATCTGAGGGTTGTGGGAGCAAGCCTCAGTATTGGGTTCTGCACTGGGCATGGAGCCCATTTAAGATTCTCTCTCCCTCCCTCTGCCCTTCCCCACTTGTTTGCTTGCACTCTGTCAAACAAATAAATAGGTAAATAAAAATTTAAGAATAAAAGCAGCAAGACAAAGTAACCAGTTACATACAAAAGAAAACACCATAAGGCTATCTGGATTTTTCAGCAGAAACTTTCCAAGCCAGAAGGGAGTGGCAGGATATATTCAAAGTACTGAGTGGGAAAAATCAGCAGCCAAGAACACTGTCCAGCAAGGCTATCATTAGAATAGAAGAGAGATAAAGATTTTCCCAGATAAGCAAAAACTAAAGGAGTTCATGACCATTAAACCAGCCCTGCAAGAAATACTAAAGGGGACTCTGACTAGAAAGGAAAGATTAAAAAATGACAGTATGAAGGTCAAAAACACAAAAGCAATAAAAATGAGTATTTCTGTGAAAAAACAGTCAAGGAACTCACAAAAAAGACATAAAATATGACACTATGTACTTAAAACATTGAGAAAGAAGGAGTAATGAATGGGTTCAAACATAAGTAACCAACTTAACATGCAGAAGATGTTATGCTATGTTATGTTCTGCTACATGCAAAAGATGTTATGTACACACCTAATGGTAACCACAAACCAAAAGCACTAGTAACGAGGCAAAGAATAAAGAGATAGAAATGCAAATATATCACTAAAGAAAACCAGTAAACCATGAAAGCAAGAAAGGATCAGAGAAAATGTTCAGAAACAACCACAAAACAAATAATAAAATGGCAACAAATGCATATCAATAATATCTTGGAATATAAATGGACTAAATGCTCCAATCAAAAGATAGAGAGTAACAGAGTAGATTAAAAAATAAGACCCATCTATATGCTGCCAACAAGAGACTTATTTTTTAAAAAAAAATTTTTAGTATTTATTTTTGAGAGAGAGAGACAGAGTGGAAGCAGGGGAGGGGCAGAGAGAGAGGGAGACACAGAATCTGACACAGGCTCTAGGCTCTGAGCTGTCAGCACACAGCCCGACGTGGGACTCCAACTTGGGAATGGTGAGATCTTGACCTGAGCTTAAGTCAGCAGATGCTTAACCGACTGAGCCACCCAGGCACCCCAACAAAAGACTTATTTTAGACCTAAAGACACCTTCAGATTGAAAGTGAGGGGATAGAGACACATTTATCATGCAAAAGGATGTCAGAAGAAAGCTGGTATAGCAATACTTATATTGGACAAAATAGACTTTAAAACAAGACTGTAACAAGAGACAAAGAAGGACACTATATGATAATAAAGAGGCCATCATCCAGCAAGAAGACATAAAAATTGAAATATTTATGCATCCAACATGGGAGCACCCAAATACATGAAGGAGTTAATAACAAACATAAAGGAAATAACTAATCTATAATAATACAGTAACAGGAGGGGACTTTAACACCCCACTTATATCAATGGACAGATTATCTAAACAGAAAATCAGCAAGAAGATGGCTTTGAGTGACACACTGGACCAGATGGATTTAACAGTTATATTCAGAACATTCCTTCCTAAAACAGCATAATACACATTCTTTTCAAGTGCACAAGGAATGTTCTGCAGAACAGACCGCATATTAGACCACAAACAAGCCTCAACTAACTTAAAAAGATCAGTCATACCATGCAGCTTTTCTGACTACAACATTATGAAACTAGAAGTCAACCACAAGAAAAAATCTGGAAACACCACAAATACATGGAGGTTAAATAACATGCTACTAAACAATAAATGAGTCAACCAGGAAATTAAAGGCAAAATTAAAAATTACATGGAAACAAATGAAAATGAAAACATGATGGTCCAAAACCTTTGGGATGCAGCAAAAGCAGTCATAAGAGGAAAGTGTATAGCAATATAGGCCTGCCCCAACAGCAAAAATGTCAAATACACAATCTAATCTTATACCTAAAGGAGCTAGAAAAAGAACAAACAAAACCTAAAACCAGCAGAGGGAAGGAAATAATAAAGACTAGAACAGAAATAAATGATATAGAAACTAAGACAACAATGGAAGATCAATGAAACCAGGAGCTGGTTCTTTGCGGGGGAGGGGGACAAAAAAATTGATAAACCTCTAGCTGGACATATCAAGAAAAAAAGAGAAAGGACCCAAATAAAGTCACAAATGAGAGATTAAAAATAACAAACACCACAGAAATACAACTATATGAGAGTAGTATAAAAAATTATATGTCAAAAAACTGGATAACCTAGAAGAAATGGATAAATTCCTAGAAACATATAACCTACCAAAACAGGAAAAAAAAAAAAAATAGAAACTTTGAATAGATTACCAGCAAAGAAATTGAATCAGTAATCAAACAACTCCCAAGAAACCAAAGTCCAGGACCAGATGGTTCCACAGGCAAATTCTACCAAACATTTAAAGAAGAGTTAGGGGCGCCTGGGTGGCGCAGTCGGTTAAGCATCCGACTTCAGCCAGGTCACGATCTCGTGGTCCGTGAGTTCGAGCCCCGCGTCGGGCTCTGGGCTGATGGCTCGGAGCCTGGAGCCTGTTTCCGATTCTGTGTCTCCCTCTCTCTCTGCCCCTCCCCCGTTCATGCTCTGTCTCTCTCTGTCCCAAAAATAAACGTTGAAAAAAAAAAAGTTTAAAAAAAAAAAAAAAAGAGTTAATAACTATGCTTCTCAAACTATTCCAAAAGATAAAAAGGAAGGAAAAAAGTTCCAAATTCATTCTATGAGAGTAGTGTTATCCTGATAGCAAAACCAGATGAAAACACCAAAACAAAACAAAACAAAACAGAATTTTAGGCCATTATCTCTGATGAACATGGATTCTAAAATCCTCAAGAAAATACTAGCAAACCGAACCCAAACCCAATACATTTAAAAAATCATTCACCATGACCAAATGCAATTTATTCCTGGGCTGCAAGGTTGATTCAATATTCACAAATCAATATGATACATCACACCAATAAGAGAAAGGATAAGTTGGTTAAGGATCTGACTTCAGCTCAGGTCATGATCTCATGATTCATGAGTTCAAGCTTTGTGTCGGGCTGTATGCTGACAGTTCAGAGCCTGGAGCCTGCTTCAGATTCTGTGTCTCCCTCTCTCTCTGCCCCTCTTCCTGTCTGTTTCTCAAAAATAAAAAAAAAATTTTTTTTTTTAATAAGAGAAAAGCTAAGAACCAAATGATCACTTCAATAGACACTGAAAAAGCATTTGACAAAGTACAACATCTATTCATCATAATAACCCTCAACAAAGTAGGTTTAGAGGGAACTTATCTCAACATAATAAATGCCATTTATGAAAAACCCACAGCTAACATCATCTTCAATGGGGACAAACTGAGAGTCTTCCCCTAAGGTCAGGAACAAGATAAGGATGTGTACTCTCACCACTTTTATTAAACATAATAGTACTAAAAGCCCTAGCCACAGCAATCAGACAACAATAAAAAAGGCATTCAAACTGGTGAGGAAGAAGTCAAACTTTCACTCTTTGCAAATGACATTATACTATGTATAGAAAACCCAGAAAACTCCCATCAAAAAACTAGAACTGATAGGGGCATCTGGGTGGCTCAGTCGGTTGAGCATCCAAAACAACTGACAGCAGTTGTTCTGACAACTTGTTGTCAGAAACAGCAAGTAAGTCTCAGGTTATGTGTCAACTCCCAGTGGCTGCCTATGTGCAAGGCTGCAGAGAATTTGAAACTTTGTCCAGGTTTCAAGGAGAAGGGGACTGTGATGCATTCATCACATGCATACTGCATATTTCACATCACTGAACTAGGCTATTGATACAAATATTTCAATAAGTAATAAGGCATGTGAAAGAAAAAAAAAAGGCCCTTCACAAACTGGAAAACTCTGGCCAGTAGATTAGCCCCTAATAGAATGGCTATATCGAAAGACTCGAGTACACTGATGTTAACATCAGGGAGGAAGGGTCTCTAGTAGTGTTCCACAGGCCTCTATTTTATGTCCTGTCCTAGTTAAAACATGTATCCATGAATTAGAACACAGCATATATTCATAGCATATATACGTAACATATATTCGTTGGCATGTAGAGCTAGCAAGAGGGACCCTGTCTGATTAACTTTTTAAAACCTGATAATCTCCTTGGCCTCTGTTTGTCTGTGGTGCTGGGGAGCAGCCATGAGCGCATCAGGAAGTCAACACCTCAACTAATACCATCATGAAGGGAAGTTGTGGGGACAGAGATCCTAGGCTGCTGTGCCAGGTCTTGCCTTTCCAAGAAGGAACTGGAAGCCCAGCCTCCTTACATAGGATGATTACCTTCTTATACCCAAGACCCTCCGGCATGGTGAATCCTGGATGGGAGTGATAGAGGAGTGGCAGGGCAGGGTCCACTCCTAGATAACCACTGCACCACTGTGCTCCAGAAGGGCCATCCCAGGACCATCGTGGAAGCTGTGTTGCTGCTGGGCCCAGCATCCTAGTGCATTGGGATACTCTCTACAGTCTCCCTGCCCAAATGTACACAAGGTGGCCAATAAGTCTGCAGTGAGGGTCAGAAGTACCAAAACACTAGGCAGATGGAAGCCACTTCCATGCAGCAGTGTCAGGGCTCAAGTATGAATCACAGGCTGTGTTTGAGGAGATGCCTTCCTTTGCTGCTGAGGGTATGTGCCTGCAGACAGCCCTCCTTGGAAGAGAAAAGAGAGAGTAGAGGAAGCTGGCATCACACTGAAGTCTTTGACTTTTCATGGCGATGATATGTTTCCTCAGCCTTTCACTTACCCTCCCTGTACTGCTGAAAGGGAAGTAACCATATTTACCACATCTTCCACAACAATAAGCAAAGCAATTTCAAAGCCACAACAGCACTTTCTTTCTCTCTTTCCATACCTGCTAGTGCACTGACCAAGAAGTAGGCTGTAGAAAAGAGCTCCTGGTTGCTGATTGCATCCTCTGGGCCTGGACACTTGCCCTGCATTCTGTACCCCACCAGACACAGGAAAGCCATGAGGTCCTGCTGCTGTGGGGGCTTCAGCTTCCCCAGTATTGCCATTGGGAGTGACAGGCCACTTAATATGTCCTCACACTGCATAAGGAAGAGAAAAGAGATGGATGTAGTAAAGCCAGAGGCCAAGCTGAGCCTCTGCCCCATGACACGCAACCCCTTGCCCTTCCACCATCTCCCAAGTAAAGCAAAACCCTAATTCCTTTCTGTTTTTAAATTACTAATCCGCCAGGTTAGATTTCCTCATAAAAAGAGTAAACAGCCTTGCCCAGGTACTATTCTTTCACAGCAAGGGTAAAATGGATGCAGGAAAACCTTCCAGGACAGGGCAGGGTCTGTCAGGTCGTGCCAGAGATCAGGAACAAGTGACTACATGCAGCACTAAGGAGGGGAACATAAAAACATTATCCCATCATGTTATCCAGCTTTAAACTTGGCACAGCAGCCCCCAACCACATTCCCAGCTAGACCCAGGGCAGCCCCATTCGTGAGCATTGGACCTGCTGGAAGGCGGGTGACCCTGCCAGTAAGGAGTGAGCTGTCCTCCATCATCACCTTTACATCAGGTGCATTCGTAGAAGAGCCCACCGGCCCCCACTACCTGGGAAGCTTGTTTCTCCTGCACTTGACAGGACACCTGATGTTCTTTCCAAATGTACTACTGGTCTGATATTTCCCTCTTGGAGCTATTCTAGGAAGTATAAGTCAGGGGGCTTTTTGAAACATGTGTGTTCTTCCTGGGGCTAGCACACCCTCTTCTGAGCTGCACATCGCCCAGAACACCCAGATGTCTTGGACTGTTAGACTCTTCTACAAGTATAGGGTCCCCCACCGGTGGCCAAGCTCTTTTGGTACAGTCCAATTTCAAGAGGGGAAAATAACATGAATGCTCTTCTGGAAATCATAAAAGCATTGAATCAGAAAATCAGAGTTCAAAATCTCTGAATAATAGAAAAAAGAAAAGAAAAACCTATCATATAAATCATCTGCTCTAGCCCCCTTAAGGAAGGAGAGTACAAAGTCTGGCAGGTTGCCAGGTGGTGTGTCCTTTACCATTTGTACAACTAATAGTTAAGGAACTCAACCAGAAAATCCTGCTGCTACAAACCAAAAAAATACAAAGGCCTGCTTTTCAATCTATTCTAAATAGAATAAATTGACCTATTGGACTCTGCCACACAGCCCCCTTGTAGTGGGGCTGAATAGAGGGCCCCAAAATATATGTTCACCTGGAACTTTAGAGTTTGACCTTATTTGGAATTAGAGTCTTTGCAGATATAATTAAAATAAGGATCTCAAGATGAGATGCTCCTAGGCTGGAATGGGTCCTACATCCAATGGTGAGTGTCCTTTAAGAGACAGAAAAGGAGAAGACATTAACACAGAAGACAGGGGCATAGGAAGACAGAGTAGAGACTGGAGCAGTGTGGCCACAAGCCAAGGAGCATCAGGAGCCACAAGAAGCTGGAAGAGGCAAGGAAGCATCCTCCCCTAGAGCCTGTGGGGGAAGCATGGCCCTGCTGACTTCTCAGCTTCAGACTTCCGGCCTCCAGAACTGTAAGAGAGTTTGTAGTAATTTACTATGACAGCCCGAGGGAACCAATCTGCACTTCGATTCTTGACATCAGCTACCTTTCTGCATTTAGATAACTAAGGATCTGGGAATAAGAAAAAGAGAAGCTTTTAAGCTTTAAAGGAAGTGAGGAAATTTTAAATGCAATTTTATCCCAGCTCACAGCCTCATCCCAAGAGGTCTAGCCTGTCCACATCTCCTGAAAAGCCAGGTAGAAGCAGCACTGCCTTGAGAGGTCTGTGGTCTTACCACTTGTTCCAGGACCACAAGCAATTCTTCATCGAACAGGACCGCCTGGAGGGTGTCACTGAGTGCTGTCTGTTGCTGTTCTGGCAGCTCCAAAAACAGATGGAAATCCCTCTCCAAGAGCAGAGTCCCTGTGAAAACAGCAGAGCACACCCAGCATCATGACTCCCATGCGTGTCTCAGAACAAAGGACAGCAGCCTTTGCTTTTTATAGTAATTGTCCTCAGTTCTTTGAAAGACACATGCAGTAACACACAATGGAACTAGGAAGCAAAAGACATCGAGCTAGATACCACCCTGCGTGTTTTTCAATAACCACTCACACTACTGCAAGAAGAAAGAAGGGGGACAAAAAGAGAAAAGAAAGAGGGCACCCGGATTCATTTCAGACTTAACTCTTTTTTCTGAGGACTTACTAAATATTAGGTCTACTTTCTGGAAAAGTCTAATCAATTATTTAGACTCCTCTTTAGCATGATTTCTACAGAAGTCAATTATCAAGGCTGAATTACTAACTATCACTCAATACTTTTATAGGGTTTTGCAGCCATGCAGACTCCAAAGTCCATTATTTTCCATGCCCTTTCTTTTAATACCATGCATATTTTTATCCTTTAATATTTAATGCTTGCTTTTCAAAGAGTCTGGCACCCTATTTTTATGGCAAACACCAGCCATTCCATTTTTTCCATTCATTATTCTTCACCCATCCTGGAGAATGGGCAGGTGCACAGACCCACCAGCTGGGTTATGCACATCTTCTGCAGGATGGTTGAGGCTCTCTCCTTAAAATCTTTTCTGTATTTTTTTAAACAACACTGGAATACTTCTAGTAAATTAAGCCCAGTGAGGATTTAAGAACAAGATTTGATAAACCAAAACCGTTTCATATGCAGAAATGCATACTAATACATAATGCACTACCTCTGCTGATGGCAAATTCCAGCACACAATGGTCAGAGAGCCCCATGGAGAGGAACAGGTCACATCAGTCACTGACCCATTCAAAAACTTCTCTATAAATACAGCTAGGTCTTTGCCATGCCATCCTGGAGAGAAGAGCTCTCCTGGTTGGTGTAAAGTCCAAGGGCATAAAGGCCAGGCTGGCCCCCACCCTACTCCACATCAGGCTGATTTGAATGGCCAACTGACAGGGTGGACTGGTAGGAAAGGAAATGATAAGCTGCAGTCCATGAACTCTTGTCCCTTCCCTGGAGCACAGGACACGGCTGCAGGGCCGCTCTGTTGTGTCCTAACCTACGACCATGCTTAAATGGCAGCTGGAAGTCAGACCCAACTGTCAGTCTCAAGGAGGCAGAGGAGGGGCCTGCAGCCCTGCAAGATGGAAGAGCCCTATCCTTCCCTGCCATTTCTTCCAACCCTGATGCTTTTGCTACAGAAAGAGAAGTATCTTCTAGTTTGGGACCCTCTGAAGCCCCATAGATGACAGTCTCTTCTTATCCTCCTGGCCATTTTCCAGATCATTCTGAGCTGTTTCTAGCTCTTTTTACCAAGTTCTTACCCAGTTATTTGTTTCCCCTTTTCCTTGTCCATTTCCTCTTTGGCTACATACTGCACTCCTCCCCGCCCCCACCCCCCACCCACCCACACCATCACAAGAAAAGCCAACTTTTTAAGACACAAAATCCTATGAAGAATAAAAGGAATTGCTACAGGCAAGTCACAGGTACTCCCCTCCTCCTCACCGGACGCAGGGCTTCAAGCCACGTGGATAAAGAGCCCCCAAGAGAGCATTTTGCAATGCTGACGAAAGCCTTGCCTGTGCTGGCAGTGAAGGCTGGAATGTAATGAAACAGATGCAAAATTTGGGATATGGCTCTTTGCTAACTAGCTACTTTTAATAGTCTGCGAGTCTTCTATGGATAAAATGAAAGAAAATGCCAAACCCCAGACTCTTTCACTCCTTAGTCTTCCACCTTTTCCTCAAAACATGGCACCCAAGACCTGAGGTTCCCTAAGATTCCACAGAGGTGCATCCTGCTGAGTGGACTAGGTCTGACTTGGAAGCATTGTTCCCTCTGTTCTCAAATGCTCTCCATTAAGTCGCTGAGGAGTCACCGCTCCTGAAGGCCACCTCACCTCATGAAGTATCGTACTAAAGTAGCAATCAGATCACCACACCACACCCTGCTGACAATACCTTGTTTTAAAACATTCAGCGGCCAATCCAGGGCAGATGGTCCTGGTCCAGAATCTGGCATTTCCCAAAATGGAAACTCTTCAAAGGACGGAAGGTCCAGGAAGACATAGTCACTTCTGTGAATCTCAAAGCCACCATGCTTCCCTTGTAGGAGGCAGAATTCTGTAATGTGGGAGAAAAGGACAAGCCAGGCATAGGGTCAGCTGAGACTTGTTGGCACATCTCAAACCCAGGATTATCTAATAGGGAAGTGGGGGGTGAAGAGGAACACATCCACTCTCTGACCCCATAAGCCCACTTCCTACACATTACACTGTTTGATGAAAAGTCAGCCACTTCCTAGAAATACAGGAAAATGGTTGTTTTCAACATAAAGCTCTCCAGTGTGTCCTCTCTGAACGGGTGGGAGGCAATCTTTCCAACATCAAAAGTATTTCCTTAGCCTGACTTGAACAAACTGTTAAATAGCAAAAATTCAAATGAGTACATTTTAAAATGACAGCAGTTGGGGCCAGTGGTTTTCTTTTTTTTTTTAATTTTTTAATGTTTATTCTTGAGAGAGAGAGAGTATGAGCAGGGAAGGGGCAGAGAGAGATGGAGACACAGAATCCGAAGCAGGCTCCAGGTTCTAAGCTGTCAGCACAGCGCCTGATGCAGGGCTTGAACTCACGGACTGCAAGATCATGACCTGAGCCCAAGTCAGACACAAAACCGACTGAGCCACCTAGGTGTCCCTAGTGGTTTTCTTTTTAATAAAGCCAAATCATAAACATCTTCCCATGTTTGAAACAAAAATTTGAATTTGATTAATAAATTTGATTTGATTGAACTGATATTAAAGTATTATTGACAATATAAGTATACGAGTGGTATGTGGTTGTAGTTTCAAGTCTTGTCTTTTATTCATTAATAAATAAAATAATACTCAACAATTAAAAGTGAATTTCTGATTTCTGCAATTGTATAAGTGAATCTTACAAACATATTGAGTGAAAAGACCAGACTCAAATAAATACAGTCTCCATGAATCTGTATAAAGGCAAACTTGTCTTTAAAAAAAAAAAAAAAAAAGTCTCATCTTCAGATATACTGAAGTATTTATAGATAGAGCAATACAATGCCTAGGATTTGTTTGGAAATTATTGAATGGGATGGAGGGAGGTGGTCAAGTTGTAGATGAAACACAAATCAACCCAGTTATGAAAGCTGGTACATGGGAGTTCATAGTATTATCTCTACTTTTGAACATATATAAATTTTCCATAATAAGTTTTTTTTAAATAATAAAATATTTCCTTAAATATGTCCATATTTAAGAACCTAAGGTAACAGTTATGTGATGTTATTATGTCCTTAATAAGCAAAAATAGGGGCGCCTGGGTGGCGCAGTCGGTTAAGCGTCCGACTTCAGCCAGGTCACGATCTCGCGGTCCGTGAGTTCGAGCCCCGCGTCAGGCTCTGGGCTGATGGCTCAGAGCCTGGAGCCTGTTTCCGATTCTGTGTCTCCCTCTCTCTCTGCCCCTCGCCCATTCATGCTCTGTCTCTCTCTGTCCCAAAAATAAATAAACATTGAAAAAAAATTAAAAAAAAAAAAGCAAAAATAGCAAATGCACTCATGAATTAGGGCTCTTTTTATCTTTCTATTTAAATTTTTTTAATGTTTATTTTTGAGAGAGTGTGAGTGGGAGAGGGGCTCAGAGAGAGAGAGAGAGAGAGAGAGAGAGAGAGAGAGAGAGAGAGAGAATCCGGAGCAGGTTCCAGGCTCTGAGCTGTTAGCACAGAAGCCTGACATGGGGCTGGAACCCACAAGCCGTGAGATCATGATCCGAGCCAATGTCGGACGCTTAACTGATTGAGGCACCCAGGTGCCCCTTATGCTTCTATTAAATCATTTGTGTACTTAAGCACAGGCTACAGAATTAAAATGTGGATGGCATGAGGATTAGCACATATTTTTACTTGCTTGTGGGTACTAATGACAAAAATCAAATGGCTATCTAAAGACAAATGAAACAATCCTTCATTTATGCACTCATCCAACCCACACTCAGTGGGCATCTGGGGTACCCCTGACTCATTGTGCCCTTGGCACCAGGCACTGAGGCAGATGAATGTGAACCAGGCTTCAGGTGTTAACCTTGCTCCTCCAAGATAGCCACCATGACAATTAACATAGGCTCAAATCCTGCCAAGAGCCAGGCAGGCCCCCCAGCTGGTAATTTAGGAGTCTATGGCATCAGCACCACTCTTGCCTATACACATGCACAGACCCCTGGAGACACTGCCAATTCTTTCATTGTTTTCAGTGTTGGGCACTGTGCCAAGAGCCAGTGACACAAAAGGACTATAGTCCAGGCCTCAACAGTAAGTATGTTACGAGTGGGAACAGACGTAGCATAGGGGTACTGGAGGAGGTGCACAGGTCCCTGAAGCCAAAATGGCAAGAGCAGAGAGAGAACCAGTGTCTAAGGAGTGTCTAAGGAGCCTCCTAAAGTTTTGGTAAGAATTAGCTGGACAAAGAGGGCAGAGAGCACACAGACAGTCATGGGGCTCTGGAATAAGGGCCAGACGAGTGTTCCTAGACAGTGGGTTAACTCTGGCCAGATGGCTACATCAGCAGCATCTGGAGATTAGAGATTAGAAGGAAGGCTAGACACCTGTTGGGGCCAGACCACAACACACCTGAAATGCAGACTTTGTCTTGGGACAAAGGGAGCCCTTGAAGGGTGTTTACGCAGGTGTGTGAAATGACCACATTTTTATTTTTAAAGAATCATATTAGTTATACTGCTAGGATGGAACAGATGGGGAAAGATTCACAGAAGCGGGGAAGCCAATTAAGAGTGTGTGGCAGGACTTGGTGGGGAAATGCTATTGGGGCCAGTAGACCTGCAGACAAGTGCGCTGACCGAGGCTGAGTCAGGGGCACAGGTTCATGTCCACAGGGCATCCAATCAGAAGTATGCACTGAAAGGACACTGGCATAATGCCTAATTGTACGAAGTACAAGGCTAAAGTTCAAAACCATAAAACGACGTCTATGATTGGCTATAAGAGGAGAGCTATTGGTGAAGGAAGGGGTCATGGATGAGAGAATCTCTTGGCTACGACAGGCCACATGGTGCCCCCCACAAGGGACTCAGAGGAGTCGGCCTCCACATAAAGTTTCAGAGGACAAACAGGATCCTTGTCCAATGTATTCCCTCTCAGAAGGTGGGGAGGAGACATCAGGCAGCCTCTTAAGGGCCCTTCTGGCCCCTGCAAATCTATGTTTATGAAGCCAGATCAGAATATTCTGTGGAACACAGATGGGGGGAAAGGCACGGGGGAGCAAAACTGGCTTTAAAATCAGGCTATGAGTCGCACAGAAAGTCGGCCTGGCCACCAGGCTGCACAGGCACAGATTCGGCAGTGGGAAAGGGCAATGGAGCGGGGCTTCCTAGGCCGGGGTGTGGGAAGTGAGCCAAAAGAACCTCCACGATTCCCCCTGGGGACCTCTTCTCAACAGCACAAAGAGGAGCATATTTTCAAAGACAGCAGAAGCCAGCCAAGATAAAAGGCTGGAAATTGAAATGTAAACAGGAGAGCCAGCCAGACAAGGCTGTGTCTTTCCAATCTTGTCTGAGAAAGAGAGGCCCTCTGCAGGTGCCCCACCAGAGCTGCAAGTGGCAGGGCACTGCCATCTCCTCAGAGAAACAGGAAGGGGATCCCCACAGGCCCCACAGACTTGAGTGGTAGCCCCAGCCTGGTCTCGGCCACCAAAGGTCCTCAGAGCACTCACGGGCATCCTTGGGTGCAGGCCAAGTTTTCCAAAGGCTTATAAATGTGACCCCTCGACTACCAACCCATCTGGACAGGATAACCGGGCCTAAACATCTTGGGCTGGAGTCACGTAAGTGCATGTGGTAACATGCTGATAACAAAAACAGGAGCGACAATCTTGTTCAGGTAGAAGACTTCCAAAGAGACAGAATAAAATCATAAAAATGCCAAACAAGGACACAAATCTGGAACCATGGCCTGAAGCCTGTAGGTCACAATTCTTGGTATTTCTGATAGTTCATGCATTCCTAAGGAGCCTCTGCAGAACGATGTCTAAAAACCTGACACCCTCGCTCTGTGTCACCTCCCTGAAATGCAGGCTGCTCCATGTGTGAAAAGAAAGTGGAGGCTCCACCATTGCATTCCGGGCCTCACGCATCTCTTCTTTGGCTCCTCACATGCCCAGGAGCTTGTGACTGTCAGGTAAGGACCATCAGTGTTCTAAGTGCCTGTACTTGTAGCTCAATGCCATAGTTAACTCTTGTGGGCCAAGTGCACACAAAAAGCTGCCTCCTGGACAACTTCCTCTTCCCTAACCTGCCACTTCAGAGAACAAACAGGAGAAGAACAGGGGACACCAAGAGATATGTGCATGGTGTATCAAGGAACACCTTTTAAAACTTTTCATTATGGAAAACGTGAAATGGCGCAAGAATAGAGTAGTACAATACAACGAACCTCCTCGTACCCACTGACCAGCTTCAACAATTGTTCTTTACCTCTTCCGACCCCACGCATACACCCTTTACATTCCACCTGGACTATTTTTGAAGCAATCCACAGACATGTTACCATTTCATCTGTGAAGACTTCAGTATAATCTCTAACAGAAGACTCTTTTTTTTTTATAAACATAACTATACCATTACCATACCTTAAAAAGTCAATTATTATGTTACATTTATTCATTCATGTCCCCAAGAAGTGGTCAGCTTTCTTAGGTTCGACACAACCTCTTCTCAGGAAGAGCAGGAAGAAGGAGCCATGAGCGTCTAAGATCGGCAAACATGAGCTATGCTAAAGCCCTTGTTTTCTTCAAATGATGCAATGACCAGGATCTCCCAGCTTTGAACACACTGGTGATCAACAGAGCAAGGTCAAGTGGAGCATTTTTGGCTTCATGTTGGGGGAAGGAAGGTGGGATGCTGACAGTATTATTAACAGCTGAGGCTGTTAATAAACAACCACTATGCCAGGCACTTCACATGCCTCATCCCATGTAATCCTGACCACAGCTCGGTGAGGGAATGCCTTTCCCATTCCAGAGATGGAGAGTTAATGCTCAGCGACATCCACAGCCTGCCTCACGGACACCATGGCACCAGGGCCAATCCACAGTCTGTTTGATGGCATGCCCACAGCATAGATCCTGTGCCGTGCTGGTGAAAGTTCATCCACACTTGTCATCCCCACACTTCCCATCTCTTTCCCCTAACACCCAGGGCAGGAGGCGGCACTCACCAAACTGGCCATCCAGTTTCACGTACAATTCGATGACGCCGTAGGCTATGGTGGTGGGAGCCGGGATCTCCAGCACCACGTTGGTGTCCTTGATGACACTCCCATCCTCCTTTGCTGACACCTGTGAGTGAGAGCACAGGCTGCCCCCATGAGCTCAGACTTCCCCAGGCTTCTCTCTGCCTCCCCACTGTGGCCAGCCTTGGGCCTTGCACACAAAAACATTGAGCAAATGCCCAAGGAACCAAGTGGAAAAATAGGAGCCAATCAGCAGATGTAAGGATGTGATCCTTGTGGGCCTCATGATGTGATGCACATATTGGGAAGTAAATGGCCAAATTCTGTGGAATGAGATTCCAGAGTGTGGGGGATAATGAGACTAGGTCGACAGTGCTGAATAAAACAGATAAATGAGCAAGGTAACTTGTCATTTCCCTCACGGAGGATTATGGTAACCACTGTGACAGCCCGGGACAATGATGACAATCCCAAACAATGTCAGTGCCTGACTGGGAGAACTAGCTAAGAGCAAGGACCTCCCCAGGGGCATCATTCCAGACCCCTGTGGCTGGCACACTGGCTGCTAAATAAGCCCAGGGGAGGTGCTGGAGGCATGAGAGGATTTCCAGGGGACGCCAAGTGGTCAGGCAGCAGAGCTCTGTCCTTCCAACACTGTTACAAATATGACCCCTTCCCAGGACGGCCTGGGGAGATCATTGCCTCAACACTGGAGATCAGAGACCCCTTTTAGCAGCTTGATCCCAGTTGGTGGGAGGACAGCCAGCTTCCTGATTTCCAGGCAGGCGCCAGGCCTGTAGTGGGGTCACCACAGGCAGAAACACTGGCAGGGCTGGCCAAAGCCGCCTCCCGTCAGGCCCCTCCTTCATCGCTTCTATCCAGCCTTCCTGCCCCAACGAGAGTCCACCTCCAGACCCAACCTCTGTCTCCACCTCCTTCCAAATACAACTTTCCCAGGTCCTCTGGAAAAAGTCAAAAGTCACTCCAAGAAACCAATCTCTGAGAATAGGTCATCAGACACCATGGTAGACTGTGGAAGAAACAGTTTGGGGTTGACAGCTTCCTGTTCCACAGAAGTCTAGTACTGGCTCAGGGATCAGCCTGGTAATAAGACTGCTTCTATTTTAATCCAGAAGCATCTGTTTTTCTGTGTATAGACACCTGTACTGCTCTTTACCTTCCCTAGCTCAGTCCACGAAGAATTTGAGGCAAGCGATCCCAAAGTGGTCATTTTGAGACCTCTGGATCCGAGAGGCTCTGGTAGCTATCTGTGCATTGCCCTGACCAGTACTCCTTTGACCCATTTTCTTTTGGGAAAGGCACCTGGCCATTCCGAGGGTTGTGTTGCCCTGGCCTTGGGTCTGCTTCAGAAATGGGTACAAGTGACGATCGTGAGAGCCGGCCCTGAAGCACATTCCCCTGGGATGGCAGCACGGAGCCACCACACCACAAGGAGAGCACCTACCTGACAGGGACTCTACCCCAGGGGAGGCAGCATACACCATCTGCCCAATTTCCCTTCTAGCAGCAACTGAACTCAGATTTCCCTGCATGTTTCAGTTACACGAGCCAATACATTATTTCTTGTTTAAGCCAATTTGAGTTGGGTTTCTATTAGCTCACTACAGAAGAGGCCTGACAAACAAAGACACAACCCCAAGAGCCCCCTGACCCGGGCCGCGATGACCAAGACTTCCAGCCCGGGTGCCTCCACCCCGGGGCAGTCACGCACCTGCACCACCTTTGTTTGGATCCCCACCATGCCGCCGCACTGCTCCTCCACCTGAACGTGCTCCCAGATCACACACTGCTGCGTGGTCACTATCTTCTGTGTCAGGACGCACAGGACTTCATTCTTCCTCTCCAGCACCTGCTGCAGCACAGGATTTCCCAGATTTATTGCTCTGAAAAGGGAAACTGGCCGTGAGTGGCCTTCTGCCTCAGGGGAGATCGATGCAGCAAATGGATCTTCTCTCACACAGCCGGCGGCTCAAGAGTATGCAGGTAACAACCAGCATTGCTTCTTTCCTGGACACGAGAGAGGGGGCAGTTCATCCAGAAAGACTCAACTCAAACTTCCCAAGGCCACCCAGGAGCTTCCAGGCATCCAGAGAAAGGCTGCCTGGGCGGGCAGGGGGCTCCCTACTGAACAGCATCAGTGGTTGTCAAGGACGAAGAAAAGAAACCCAACTAGTGCAGGGGCTGAAATCCACCAGTTTTCCACCCTGGAAAGTCGGTTTCACCATTTCATCAATGGCTGAGGGCCTGCAGCCATCACAGGAAATGTGGGATTATGGGGGGGAATGCTGACCAGTTCCTTAGAGAGGAGAGAGGGTCAGGCTTCCCACAGCAAGGAAGAAACTGGATTTGAAATAAAAAGGAGCTTCTTAACCTGTCTGGGAAGGACACAGAATCTCTTAGGAGGAGTTTCATGCCATTTTACAAATGAGGAAACCGAAGTCAGGTAGACATGGCCTGCTCAGGGTCCCCCCAGCACAGACTTGGGGCTCCTATGTGGCTACTCTGGAGAATTTCCAGGACAAGCTAAATTTTCCATGTACAGGAGACAGATTTCAGGCTTAGAAGTAAACAATGAAATAACCCTTGCAGAGTTCTCCTCTGACACGATGCATCTATGAGGTGGACAGGAAAGAACCTAAGGAGAGTCCATATTGACACAGCAACAGTTACAGTGTTCATCTTGAGCTTTTTAAATAATTCAAGGTTAGTTACCTTTAAAAAATTCAGCAGCACCTCTAACCACACACAGGTAAGGGTCACCCTGACGTGGGGCAAACACAGATTCTCCAGGGTTCAGAAAGTATCCTCAGAACAGGAGTGAGTAGTTGGTAAGGTCCTGTCTCCATGTGAAAAGCTGTCCCGGGTAGAAACTCCACCATCGGATAGACAGACAAAATGTGGTATGTACACACAATGGGACACTATTCAGCCACAAAAAGGAATAATGTTCTGATGCATGCCGCCTCATGAACCAACCCTGCAGATGGTATGCTAAGTCTAATATGCCAGACAAAAAAGGACAAATATCAGATGAGTCTACCTATATGAAATACCTAGACTAGGCAAATTCATCATGGTAGAAAGTAGATTCAAGGTTACCAGGGGCTGGGAGGAAGGAGAATGAGGAGTTCTTGCTTGATGGCTACACAGTTTCTATTTGAAAGTGACAAAAAGTTCTAGAAATGCCACTGAACTGTACACTTAAAAATGGTTCAAATGATAGGGGCACCTCAGTGGTTCAGTCGGTTAAGTGTCCGACGCTTGATTTCAGCCCAGGTCGTGATCTCACGGTTCCTGAGTTCAAGGCCCACATCAGGCTCTGCACTGAGTGCAGAGCCTGCTTGGGATTCTCGCTTTCTCCCTCTCTCTGCCCCTCCCCTGCTTGTGCATGCACGTACTTGCCTTCTCTCTCCCTCTCTCTCTCAAAAATAAACATTTTTAAATGGTTAAAATGATAGAATTTAGGTTATATGTATTTTATAACAAAAAAAGTAAAGATACATGAAAAGCTGCTCAATCTCAGTAGTGTCAAAGAAATGCAAATTATAACAACATTTCACACATATTAAGTAAGTAATATGGGGCCTGGCTGGCTCAGTAGGAGGAGTGTGTGACTCTTGACCTTCGGGTCATGACTTGGAGCCCTATGCTGGGTGCAGAATTAATAAACAAATAAATAAATCATGGTTTTTTTTTTTTAATTAAGTAATAAAAAAAATTGACAACAACTACAAAAAGCTGCCCAGGGGTCCATTCCAGGAAGGCCAATGAAACAGGGACTTGGAGCCCAGCCCGTGGGGTTCAAATTCAAGCTCTGCCCCTCCAGCTGGCTAATTACTCTACCTTCACACCTTGCTTTTCTTATATAGATGGATGGGAACAGTGCTCTACTCGAGGGGGCTAGTGTGGGGTCTAGAGGAGAGGACATGCAGTGAACACAGAGTTAAATGCCACACGAACTCCAGCTGGCTCCCACTACCTTCTGGTGTTCTTCTACTGAGGTGCCCAAAATAAACCCCAATGTATGCACTTGAAGGGAATATGAGTCATTTAATTGGGTTGGAGGCACTTTCTCACTCACTTGCTTAGAAACCTTCAGTGACTACATCACATCCTGTGATCCGGCCCCTGCCCATGGCCAATCCCACCTTCCAGCTTTCTCTCCATGCCTTAAACACAACAGGCGAGTGCCTGCCCCACAGCCTTAATGCCATGTCCCAATTCCTACATCTTGCTGATGCTAGTCACCTCCTCAGGAGTGGCAGGCATTTCCTGATCACCCTGTGCACGGTAACAACTCTGTCACACTGTCACATCCTGAGACCACTTATCTGGAGAGCATATTTACACTTAATACTTTTCTAGCACATTTGTTTATTTGTACATTATCTGCCTCCTCCCCCTAAACTCCATGCAAGTAGGGACTGTGCCCTCCAATTACTATCAGGACAATGCCTAGTACATAGCAGGGAGTCATATATAATTTTGGAAAAAATGGATGAATAAAACTTGTGGGTTTTTTTTTGCTTCTCTGTCTCTTTGCCTTAATGAACATTCAAATGTGTGTGTGTATATATATATATGTATATATATACATATATATGTACATATACATATATATACATATACATATATATATATGTGCATCTCTGTGTGAAAGAACACATAGAAGATGGAGGAAATGGAGGGTTAGCAGTGTAGTTTAAAGAATGATATGTAGAGGTAAATCCTCCCAAGATTGTGTTCAGGTTCTAGAGGCACAGACTTGGAAGAGGAGAACCAGTGTATCCACCAGTCAGAACATACGTTTGAACCAGGCCCTTCTGATGCTCTACTCTGACTGTATAGACAATTTCATCTTCTAGCAGATTCTTGAAAATCAGCTGCTTCAATTACAGTTCAGGTACTGAACCAAGCCCATGTGAACACACACATCAGAAGCAGCAACTTCCAGCTTCCAAACCCCAGAACTCACAGCAGAGGGACAATGGAAGGCCACCCAGAGTCTGAAGGGACTCTGGCACACCAGAAATCACTGCACTACCACATGCCTTAAACAGATCCACCAAATGCTTGATGCTGTCTTAGCCAATGTAAAATTATTTGGAGAGAAAAAAAATCAGCCTAAACTGTCCAAGACTGCATTGCTTAAAATGCCTACCTCCCTCCAGAACTCCCACACCAAACACCAGAAGCAAAAGGGAGCAAAGTCCATTGCAGGACCGTAACTTTCTTTTGCATCTGATGGTGGTCCAGTCCTTGGACGTGTGCCCATCCAGCCACGCACCTGTGAGGCTTAGTGGCCCTCAGAGTGGCCCCTGCGGGGTTAACCCCACCACAAGATAAGAACAGAAGCCAGGGCTTGGCCAGGGTCCATCTCTAAAGCTGAGAGACTCAGCTGAGTGGGGAGGTTAGTACTATGGACAAGACCCACGCAGGCTGACTCACAAATACTCCACTGAGCTACACAGGCAGGGCTGCGAGGGCAGGCCCTCCCCACCCATCTGGGGATTGTTTCCCAGAACAGTGCTGCCACCTTTTGGAAAACCAACACCACACAGACCTACTCATCTTCAGTGAGAACAGAAGACCTGGTGTAGACAGAGGGGAAGCTGATTATCAGGGGGAAATGGATTCCTCATTGGACTCTTTGCAAAGCCAGCTCAGAGGGAATTTTCCCCATGTCCTTTCCTAGTTACCACCAGCAGGCAGCAAGCAGCTCAGGATGCAGAGCAGCTCCTGGGGGCCACAACATGGCCATGGCCTCCCCAGAGCATAGATCCCTGTGCAACAGGGATACTCTGGGCCCACCAAGTGGGGAAACCATCAGGTTTCAGTGTAATCCATTTACATTAAAACCCTCCATGTTTCATGTACACATTTAAAGATGTTTATGGGTTCCTCCAGACCACTACACGGATTCAAGGGGAAAGAAAGTTTAAAACCCTAGATTAGCAGTTTCATAAATGAGGAATATGGAGGTCCAGAAAGGTTGTAGATGGTAACTTTTCACAAAGCCTCCCAACCCCCCAGCCACAGCAGACCCACCGCTGCTTTCTTGCCCCTCTGGGCGAGGGCACCCTCTGGCTGTACCAGAATGTGACCTTCCTCTCTAGCAAACTCTTGTATTAGTATGTCCACTTCCACATGTAAAGATCTTGCCTGTCTAGCTAGACCCACAGGTAGGGCTGGAAGGGGGGTTATACCCAAGTCCTCCAGGAATCTTCAGAATATCTCTGCCTGCTCATTCTCCCTGACCCTCCCTGACCCCATTGCCTGATGGCTGCGGCAACGTGCCCTTAGAAAACCTTCCCCAGGTTGTCTAAATTAGCTCCACCACCCCTGGACCCCATTATGAGCCACTGAATAACATGGACAGAATGTCTTCAGAAAAAGAAGATAGTATTCACAGTAATTACCGCTTGAGTGGGGAACTAGATGGCTGGAAGATCGGAAGGACACTCCTTCCCTTTTCTCTTTTGATTTGTAACATTTAAACCACATGAACACACCAATTATTCAAAAAATGTTTCTTATTTAAAAAGACCTCTGGACAAACTGTAAGCCCCTGGAGGACAGAGTACCCTCTGTACCTACCCAACCAGAGTACCCTACCCCTACCTCCATGCCTATCCTACCCACCAGGTGATGGATAGATGAATAATTTATCACATAAACTCTAAAATGCATGGTTGGAATAAATCTCTCTCCAGCAGGACTGGAATCATGAAGAAATAGAAAATATGATCACATCTATTACTAGTAAGGAGATTGAATCAGTGATCAAAAACCTCCCAAAAAACAAAAGCCCAGGAAAAAACAGCTTCAGTGATGAACTCCACCAAATGTTCAAAAAACAATTAGTTAATCCTTCTCAAAAATC